CATGTCTGAAAATAATCGGGATAATTAGGTGATTCGTATAGTCTCTAAACGTTCTGTGACCTCTATGTTGCTGGTTATGTTCAGAAAATATCTCTAAGTTATGTAGTGAATTTTATTATACTTAACAAACTTGCTTCGGTAGATTAGTCACAGGCAAATAAACATACAATAGAAACTGATTTTGTGGAACTTGTAACAAACTATATCAATAACATAACATAACGTCAAGCCTTTATTCCCGAAGGGGTAGGCAGAGGTGCACATTCTGCCACTGTGCAATGTAACACCTTTCACTATTTATGTTATGAGTCCCTTGTAATAGGGGGTGGGCCTATTGCCATATACCGGGCACAATTCCAGACTCCGTGCTTCTGCTGAGAATTTTGTAAATACCCAGTAATATGTACTTTGCCCGACCCGGGAATCGAACCCGAGCCCGCGACCACTCGGCCAACGAGGCAGTCACTATATCAATAATTCTAGAGGTAGGTAATTCACCATTTTATATGAAGAATGCAATTACTTACTTGTAATGACAGTACAAAGACTCGCAGTCGAGGATAGGTCTACCCAGTCCATAAATGGCGCCGATGAACCCTTCAAGTCCATATCTCAGGTAAGAGATGTAGGATCCCCAGCGCAAGTATGATGGCAGGTCCCGGAGGGTGACTCCGAAACCAGCGAACATCATCATTGGTACTGACAGTGTTGGGCCCAAGAATGTGCCGTTCTGTAAAAACAGAATTGATATTTTTATACTGTCGTTCTCATTTGCCATGTTACGAATTCCTAGAATTATTTTCGACACTGTACATGGTATTAATATGGAGAGATTCGAAAGCCTACGTACAATGATATGAATTAAAATCTATCATCATTGTACTGTATTTAGCTTATCAGCATTACAAATTATTCCACGACACGAAAGTAGAAATAAATGAACTTCTAAGAGTGTTCCTACTGAATATATTACAAGCGCCGTAACAGTTTTAACAACATAATACTCAAATTAGTCTCTTTGGTTACTAGGTTGATTTTGATCAATAAAACTACTCACAACAACGCTGAAGACGGCGCCGATCATGAGCCCAAAGCTCTGCGCCACCAGCACGGTGTACAGCGAGATCGCGAAAAACATTGCAAACCTCGCGATCTCCAGCGGCTGAGACGACATCGTGTACACTATCACACTGAACACTGCGCAGCCTACTATCTGGAATTAAAAAAAAATCATGAATAGACCTTAATATATTCTGAAAACCATATTATGAAATATACAGGCTACAGTGTATGGAATACCGTAGAAAAACCGACGTGAAACAACGCTTGCGTTGTATATTGTCGTGTGAGTGAGATTACCGCCTACCGGAGACCCAATTACCCCCGTCTCCAATCTCTCCAAACCCGGAATCCCCAACAATCCTTAAATTTCAAACCACCAATAGGCCGGTAACGGCGTTAACGCACTTGTAATGCCTCTGGTGTTTCGGATGTCTATGAGCTGCGCCGATTGCTTACAATCCGGTACCATGCGGTAATCCGTCTGTTTACCGGCACATATCGCATAAAAAACAGAGTTCCTAGATTTTAAAAATCCTTTATTCAGGCTATCACCAATGTCAAACTTTAGCATTATATAGTGTGTTTTAAATAATTGATGTTAGTTAATTGTTATATGCTTTAAACTGTCAAACACCAAGCGGTCACCGGTGACCGCAACCTATTGTTCTATAATTGTGTCTTTAATGACGGTACTCGACGAGTTAAAAGGGAAATACTCATTCATTTTATGTAAAAAGTTTATCTAGAAAGTATTTCTGAGAGGTACTTACCGATATAGGTAGATCGACAATTGTTATTGATATGTAATATGATCCCAAGGAGTACCATCTGTTGAAGTGTTCTTTGGACAATATCGACATCTCATTAGGGACTGTAAACAAACACAGAAATGTGAAATTATAACTTATGTAGATTTTCATAAATAAGTATTACATTTCGTTAATGTGACCTAATTTATGACTTGCAAAGGGCAATCGCATTTACAGAATCAAAGTATTTACCTATAGAGATACCAGAAAATTTGGAACTTCTCCTACGCGTTCTTTTATTTACTAGTATTAACTAGTTAGTATCAATCAATATTGATTTATCTTTCTAACAGTATGTTAAAACTTTTTGTAAGAATTGTGTTCGGTATTAAACAAATGGTTAGATGAATTTATTAAAGTATAGCTAATAATAAAAGGAATGCTTACAAGTGAGAATTGTCAACATCATAGGAGACATCATGTGGTGCATGAGGATGGCGAACAGCAAGTTGTAGTTCTCCAGCACTCTTTCGCCTTTGTTACCAGCATTGATGAACAGGCTTCCCAACATTATACCTACCACCACGTTCACTATCAAACGCAGGTGAGTCATCGTCTGGAAGTGAGTTAAATAAATATTAGTTTAGTAGCACGGAGTCTGGAAATCCGGTATATGGCTATAGGCTCACCCCCTATTACATGGGACTGGTAACTTAAATAGTGAAAAGTGGGTGTTACATTGTACAGTGGCATTAAGTACCCCGTCGGTGATAAAAGGCGTGATGTTATGTTATGTTAATTTATGCATAGAAAAAGGAAAATAGAGTTCATTACTAACTAGAAATGCTTGACTACTTTTTTATTACTTTTTACTGAAATTAAAGCCTAAAGATATGTCATGGCGGCATCAAGAGGCTTCTTCTGGCAATTGACGAAGTTACATTGGCGTGGATAGATCACAAACATTTCGGTTAAATTCGGTTAGCCGACATTGGTTTGCTAAGCCATACTATGTAATTTATTAAAAACTTCTGTACTACTATCATTAACTTACAAGGACAGAAGAAAAACGTGACCATTAACACTGTTAAGGTCTTTATCGTCAGCTAATCTTCACGAGACATTCATACGACATACGTGAGCCAAGACTCCCAATGGTATTATTTGGGAACTTATGTTTAGTAATTAAACATTAAACAAAAAACATAACATCACGCCTTTTATCCCCGAAGGGGTAGGCAGAGGTGTACATTATGCCACTGTACAATGTAACACCCACTTTTCACTATTTATGTTATGAGTCCCATGTAATAGGGGGTGAGCCTATTGCCATATACCGGGCACAATTCCAGACTCCGTGCTACTACTGAGAATTTATAAAAACCCAGTAGTACTTTGCCCGACCCGGGAATTGAACCCGAGACCCCTTGCCCGGCAGTCGCACTCGCGACCACTCGGCCACCGAGGCAGTCAATTAAACAAAATAGTTGAAAATCTTACCGCATCCCTCTTGGCCTTTAAGAATCCTCTCTTCATAAGTACGCTGAGCTGGTTGGACTGACTGGTTTCCTCATCTCCTCCTGTAGGTTCTGTATCTCTCAACACACTGAGTGGCACCAGTTTACGTAGACCTTCCATAGAGGGGATGGACTGGTGGTCTTCAAACCAGTCCAGCGCTTTGCCATTCTCTGATTTGTTTGCCATAAGGTCTATTTTGTCTTGGCCGTATTCACCACAGGAGAGTTCGATTACTGAAGAAAGCAAGGAAAGGGTTTTTAGTTATGACTAAAATAAAGATTTGTTTAACCTGTGAAGTGTCATTATGCAGATCTACGCGAGACACAATGGTTTTCTATTGTGTCATACATATTGACAGGTCGACAGACAAGAGGTTCAGTTTTTATTGATTAATCGACTGCTCACAAGGGCGATTGCTGAACCTGGGGTTTTTCGAACCGGCAAAAAATTATTGAGCAATTTTGGTAGACTCCTAATATTTTTATCAATACCATAGAATTTTGTTTATAAAAAGCTCTATCAGAAATAATTATCGTTAGAACGTTACATTGTTACGCAATGTTTGTTTGAATTGTTAACGAATGTTTATTAAGTTTTAATTACTTCCTGAGCGTTTGTGTTGTTAAAATATAATTAATAAAAATATCTAACATTGAATTAATTGTTCATGTTGATAGGTTAAAGATCAAAATGTGTTACGAATTTATTTAATTTTGTTGTATTGAAAAATAATCAGCATGTAACGACATCAGAGCGGTGCGTAGAGGGATTTTATTCTTCTCTGCCCTTATTACACGGCAAATTCTTCTACAAAACGATATAACCCTAGGAAAAGTAGACATAAAAACGAATACTTACTATAATCAGCAGGATTATGGTATTTGGGACAAGGAATCCCAGCTTGTTGCAAATAAGGTACTAAGTTCTTCGTGGTACCCTGATACATGCAACGACCAGCAGCCAGGACATACACCTGGTCAAACAGTGCGAACAGTGATGCCGAAGGTTGGTGCACGGTACATATGATGGTTCGACCCTGGTGAGCCAAGGTTTGGCAGAGCTGGACTACTTGTGTGCATGATGAACTGTCTAGACCTCTGGAAAAGAGAATGGTTGAAAACTTAGGCCCATATTAGCATCTTCATTTCTGTCGTGAAAGCGTTTCGTGATTATGGCAAAGTTTCTGTGGGAATTGAACCAATCATGAAACATTGTGTACAAGAGTTCTTTAAGCGTTAACCTATTAGTATTACTATTTAACCGGGCAAGTGCTGAAAATCAGCGCCGCGAGTCGAGCACACTCGTGTCACGGCATTTAAGCTGAGCTCTGGCCTTTTTGCGCCGTCTTTACTATATTGTTTTTTATTTTATTTTTTTGTGTTATTGTACCTTGTGACGGTGTGCATATAAACGATTTTTCTTTCTTCCTTTCTTCTTTATATTAGAAGTCGCCGGTAAAGGAATTCGTGACTAAATTAGAATTTGCGAGTGGTAACCTATTCGTCAAGAGTATTCCTAAACATATTTTTATTGAATTCTATTTAATCTTTACGCAAATCATAATAATGACAGTCAAGACACGTTTTATTAAGATACCTAAGCTTTCCAAACGAAAGTAATCATTCTATCATTGGGTAAAAGAAATACAAAAACATTTATTTAGGACCGATTTTACAATTATCAGTTAATTCTTAACCGTAGAAAAAAATTAAGAATGAAATTAGTGAAATTAGAGTTTTATTAACCATCATTAGGTTGTAAATAATGTGTTAGTTAGATATGACCCCGATGTGTCCAAGTCACGTGCATTCTATGTTTGTGCACATTACTGATATCTTCATACACAGTGGGGTAAAAGTTCAAGCGTGGAGGAAATAATTCTAATTACATTACTATTAATAGACCAAAACTATCAATCACATAACAAGAAAGCTGATAGGAAGAATCCTGCATGAGTCATATGTATATAGATATTTTTTATGGAAAATAATTATTTGCGTATTTGAGAATATACGTAGGGTGTTTAGAATGTTAGAATTATTAATATTCCATCATGTTTTTGACCTACATATAATGTATTATTACCTTAAATTACGTAAGACATTTTTAAATGGGTGTAAGCCCGCCACAACCTCCCATAACCGCTGCAACTCCTGTAAGCCAGGATCTACAGTAGATACAACCATGAAAACACCGGAACACTGAAGTCCGGCGCGTCCCAAGGACATGTATAACTGTCTTGGTTCCCGCAACGCAGTGAATCAGAAGAGAGAATAAGAGGAGAAAAAAAAAAACGATATTTTCGATTTCCCTCGGTGAATTACTGTAGGAGACAGAATGAAATAAGCCTAAAGGCACAAAATAGAGACTGTACAACTGAGTGAAGCCCAGTCGCCAAGCACTACGGAAATTTGACTAAAAACTAAGTGAGTCCTATGTGTGAGCTGTTATACTTGCTTCCAATATAATAGGTATGGCAAAAGCGCCTAAACGCACGGTTATTTGTTCTAGATTCCACAAGGTTCGTATAATAAGCTACACCTGACGAAACAATTCAATTATCTAACATAGTGTTACGTTCATGTTGCCAGAGATCACACTCCCAGAGTATGTGATGGGCGGACTGCTCGTATTGCAACTCCGCTATCGAACATTGGCACCTTGGCGAATCAACAAGATTGAGAACAATGTGCTGTTAAAGTTACGTACGACATACCTACTATGTTCCGTAATTAACCTTTTTGCAATTTTTATGTAATAATTATAATCTGATATTATAATAAAAATGGTGTTAATCAGTACATTTTACAGATAAAGCAGATTATAAAGCAATTCAAAAATGGCTATGAAGGTAAATAGTAATTAGTACAACTGTAGGTCATTGTGATTATTGATTTTGTATTGCGTTGCTGACTTCGTTTCAATATAAAAGAAATCTCGGAACATTTTAGATATAAAGAAAAAAAAGGAAGGAAGAAACGAAGAAAAATACTTTATTTCACACGCTTAGGAAACAAGTGACATGTATGTGATATGACATTGATTACGATGATTTTAATTTGTGTCTGTTTTATATGACAATAGACTATTTTGTAGTCATTACCAAAAATTGCATGTAGCCTTGTAGTTACCTATGTATATTTTGTATGAACTTTTATTTACTTCAGTGAATTCTTTATTGGCATTCCACCTATTTCCTTTATTATAGTTGCCTATTTCTGGTCTCTTTTTCTTATATTCTTATTAATCTCTTCTTTTCTTGTACCTACGACTTGACTGCCCAATCCCCAAGCGGTCACCTATGACCGCTCTCCATTTACTCCATTATAGACCTTATTTCCGATGTTTAGAGACTACTTTTGTATAAACAGAAGTTGTGGATTTTTCGTAATCGTGTATTAAGAAGTTAAATGAACATCTTGGTAAGTAAAGACTATAATGATGTTAGCTTACGTAGTAGGTTCATCGAGGAACATGATGAGAGGATTGTTGATCAGCTCCAGAGCAATGGACAGCCTCTTTCTCTGACCTCCGGAAAGCTGGGCCCCTCTTGTGTTCATATGCTCGTACAGACCCAGGTTTGTTAGGATGTCCTCAATCTGCAAGAATAACGGTTTTATATAGAAAACGGTTATGATAACACTTCTCTTTGCTTTGCCACAAGCGGGTAAAAAGCTTTCGAAGAGACTAAATGACTACTATCCAAACATTCTAAAAACCAATAGCTTTGATGGTACTTTAAATATTTGTTTAGATTTCACTTAAAAGAGATAGACTGCAAAAATAAGAAACGATATTAATTTTTTACTACCATTCTTTTATACGTATGACAAAAAGAAATGGTTCTGTTAAAAAGTATTTAAAGGTTTTTGGAACACCAAGTGACCAACATTGGCTGCATGTGATTGGCCTTCGTGTGCTGTCTATTGATTCATCGAAAAAAGAAAAAAAACAAGTGTCATTAAAACAAAGTTAAAATTCGGTACTTTTTTCATTATTTAGCAAAATAATACAAAAAGTCAATGTTAAATAAATTATTGTTTTAATGACAGTCACATACACAAACAAAGTTACATTTCTTCGTATTCTGCGAAATGTGCAAATTGTTGAAATTAGGTTACACTGGTCGACGACGTAACGTACGATTGTACTTACCTTACACATATTTTATAAATGTCGTTTAGTACAAATAACGTGCAATGACCCTAAAGAGTAAGTAATAACATGTTATTTTGTCTGCAACGTTTTGCTCGAAAGAACATTTTGTTTTTGTTTCTTTTGTTTTTCAACAATAGCAGATCATACCTTGTGTAGACGTTAGTAGAATAGTATTAAAAGAGTAACGAATGGAGTTTCTTGCTCGTTCTTCTCTATACGAATGTAGATTTTGGAATGAGCACGTATTATTTAGACTATTATTTATTGTGTATTTGTTGACGTGTCAAAAGTACCAAATTATGGTTTAATTGAAATAAATGCTTTTGACTTTGAGGCATTTGTGTCTGTCTTATAAGAACGATGTCCTGTTGGTATGAAGACGTCTACTATGATAAGAAATATCAAAATTCTGGGCTAACAGTAGGTAAATAAAAACTCGATCGGTTCTTGACGTCCTCACTATTAGATGATGCGTTGAATTTGCAAGATGTCAATAAAGGCAATGTCAAAGTTATGATAAAAAAAATAAAATAAAAAAGTGTTTATTGTAATAAAAACATAAGACACACAGTTTATGAATACTAACATCTAAACTAGGCCGAGCCTGTACCTTAGATGTTAGTTCCTTCCAATTGAGACAGTGTTTTTTTTCGTTTTATGATCCTTATGGCGTATCACGATAAAATTATTTTGGTCATAATACGTGTATGTTTTCGTTTTTATAAGAAGCAATCACATTGTCAAACACGTCAAAGAACCAAACCGCAATAGGTACAAATGTAATGCAAATTGAAGTTAAATAAATATTCGAGACATGTCTGTACATGGCAATTATGAACTACGTGATTCATATGTTATCATAGGTGCCTACTTACCAAACCAGTATGGAGTACTTATGTGCGGAAAATATGTCGGAACATAAGGAAGGGAATTGTTGTTTTACTGTTAGTAGCCTGTAGGCGTTTATGTTGGTATTGTCCTGCCTATTTGAAATATTTTTGCATTTAGACAATGAGGTCACTTTCTACTTTGAGGTAGAAATAAGTATCTAGCAGAAAGTTTAGATCTGGTCGTTAGTGACAAGAGTCTGAGATGATACGATACTACGGAACCGTCTATTTATTGAAAGACTATCATTTACTGCCTACCATATTTTTAACAAATTCTATTAGATAACTTATCGCAAAGAACCTAACGGGTAACCGGGGCTCCGGCTCGACGTCCAGGAAAAGGAACGGGGTGGTTTTTAGTCAGTAAGAGTCTGACACTCCCTCCCGCCTCACCCAGGCGGGAGCAGTCATTCGTTGACTTTACCCCCTTAAAAAAAATCCTTAACTAATATTTATTCAGTACTTACAACTTCTCCCTTCTCATATTTGTCTAACTTGGTGGGCAGCTTCAAATCGGCTGCTAACGCCATGTTCTCTCCCACTGTCAGTAGACCCTGGAGCCGGTCGTCTTGCTGGATGTAACATGACATCCTCTTGAACCTCTCTGTAATTACAAATGAGATATATAAATGGTTTTGTAGATAAAGAAGTCATAAATGTTTATTAGGCATGCATCTTATAAAAAATAAAAATGTATACAGTTATTATTTTACGATAAATTGTCTATTAGGTACTACATATATGGCGCCGAATCAATATGCACAAAAGGACTAGTCGCTAATAAATGTTTGGAATATCCTACTTTTACCAAACCCATTCTTAAAGTTACTAAAAGAAAAACATAAAATACGGTGCATTCATAGTTTTGTCTGTCTTAGAAAAACATATCCAGACTACAGACTATAGTTAAAGCGAAAACGTCTAATCACATAAACGATTAACTAATATAGATTTATTTATGGTTTGATAAGGTAATCATAAAACATATAAAGATAATAATTCGAATCACAGTGCTATGGAACCGTGTATTCATGACTGACACGTTCTACTATCATGTGAATCGAGTGCTAGGTAACTGGAATCGAGACATCTTTAGGTCATGGTTATTGATTAAGCTTAGAATACTAGTTAAACCAGTAGGATAGTGGAACTGGCACATTGATGTAGGAAAGCTGATTACAAGTAGGGTATTAAAATTTAACATGAAGTATTATTTTAATTGAACTGTCAAGATAAGGAGTTAGTAATACAATGATTTTCTACGTCTTCATTATAGTTTATAGTTTTTAGGGTCCGAAATACATTTGCATACCTCGTTTTAATCATTGAAAAATCGAATTATGATTTCTTTCCGGTAATTAAAACTATGTTCGGAAACTGTCTAATCACTACATAGTATACAACTAAGTCGCTATCCGCCGTCTGTCTGTCCCTATGTATGCTTAGGTCTTTAAAACTACGCAACGGATTTAATGGGGTTTTTATAATAAATAGAGTGATTCTTAAGGAAGGTTTATATGTATAATACATGCATATTGCACCCGTGGGAAGCCGGAGAACGCTAGTAAAGCAAAAAAAAAAAAAAATTTTTATTGTAACAATTAGGTTTTTAAATATTTTTTTTATTGCTGTGTTAGCTTTTATAATAACAGGTACGTAATCAGAAATAATATGATATTCGTTTTAAATAATTTCGTGACATTTAAAACAAAATTAAGATATTATATTGCTACAGTTGAATAACTTGTTTTGTTCGCGTTGCATTCTCCGTGTACTTATTATAATGAATAACACATGTATTCATAAATATATAACAAAAGACATAATATAATAATTATGTATTTTGCATAAATACCTACTAAACCACACATTTCAAACACACATTTTTTTAGTATGTGAGCTCTTCAATTATGAGAAATAAAGTCTCTTCTAAGATTTTATCTAAGTCAATTGGTTATTGATGTTAATAATGCAAAATTAAGTCAAAAGTAAAAAAAAAAACAAAAACCCCAAGAATCTAGTTTCGTCTTGACAGCACCTTTGACGCGTTTAAGATTATTGACATTTTTTTTTTTTTATTTATTAAACTTTATTGCACATACAGTGTAATTGGCGGACTTAATGCCGTAGGCATTATCTGACAGTCGACCATTGGGTGGTGCAGAATGTTAAAGCGGTAGGTGCAAAATTGTAAAAAGAAAGTATGAAGTAGTAGATAACGAAGTTAAGGTAATAAAATCATTTATGTGGATACCAGCTTTTACCCGTGGCTTCGCTCGCGTCACAGAAGGAAAAAAGTAGCCTGTGACGTAATAACAAACCAATATACACAGCGCCATCTATACCAATACTTTTGTTTTCCCTCGGGAATATCACATTTTTTCCTAGATAAAAAGTATCCTATTATTTAATCCGGACTTCTTCGGACTCGGACTTTACGTCTGCAAAAATTCAAAGCAATCTGTTTAGTAGTTACGGCGTGAAAGCGGAACAAACAAACTCACTTTCCGATTTATAATATTAGTAAGGATTATCTGCGAATGTATAGCAGACAGACTATGACGCATAGCAAGTATCTATCTACCTTTCCAAGTGCACATATCGATGTCACACGTGAATGTGTTATATCATGACTGCATGAATGTAGTTCTAACCTAGGCAGGTTTATCTAACGCCTAGAATCCGGGTCCCTTGGTTCATTACTAATTATTTTGCACTGATAATGTTAGTGCAATCTAATTGCTAACTACTGATATTGTTTTTCTGCTTATTAAGGTTTTAATGAATCGCATTCCGTAATTAGTTGTTGAAAGAATAAATACGAAATTGTTGCTAATATGTTATTTTGTATTTTAGTCAACGCAGGTATTGAATTTGGGTCGTTCAATGACTGTTCAAACATTATGTTCAGAAACTGGTTGTAAATCTTTTTTTAACTGACGTTTTTGGTAATTAAAATAAGTATCACGAACGCCTGAATCTTGCTCGTGTGATCTCCCTTTGTTACCCAAATAAACGAAAAACTTAAACTTATTTAAATTTGGATCCATCTGTCCTTCTTACTGATAAGCAAAATTTCAAGACTTTACTTTTATTTAAAGTGCTTTTAGGTTGATATTGTTAAACACCAGTAGTTATTGCTTTTAAATCATAAATATCGTTGCCCTGCACTAGGATTTTCTCTCAAACATACAAGTTCACATACACATGACACCCAGACCTGGAACAACAAACTGTAGATCACACAAAGAGTTATTCCGTGCGGGAATCTAGCCTGCGACACGTTGCGCGGCAGCCAGTTGCCCAGCCACTGCGTCACCCTTGCAGTTATTTTGTCACTCATTTTCATACCACATATAATTACGATAAATATAATAATACTCACTCATTATCCTTCCTCTGCCATTAATGAAGACTGCTCCTCCGACGCCGGTGATGCGGTACCCAGACAATACATCCAGGAGCGTAGACTTTCCAGCTCCTGAAGGTCCCATGATGGCGATAAGCTGACGGGGACGAAGTCTGCCATTGACTCCATGGAGAATTTGTTTGCTACCTGTAACAATAGCACGTTAATGTGAGATACGTGCCGTATTTTCTACCTCCTTAGCTCCTTATACTAATTAGGGGAACGTGGGAATTTTTCTTCCACTGTACCAGAAACTGTTAGGCTATGAACAAAATTAACTACATAAACAGAAGGCTCCGCGACATCACCGCGACTGCGCACTCTGCTCATGAGGAAGAACCCCTCTGTGGTTCCAAACTAGTAGAGTTTTTCTTAGTATTTTCACGTGAGTGGCCCGCGATTTTAGTTAATTTAGTATGGTCTCACGATGGTTATTATAAAATCATAACTTGAGTGAGCTCGATCGCATTCTTGCCGAGAGACACATGACAAACGAGATAAACTAGGTTTCTGTAGTAATGTGATTTGCAAAACCTTTGCATGTAAAAAGTTTGTAATAGATGGCTTTTCCTGGTACTCATAATGTTACTAGACGAAACGATGGTGTCGATTTACTTTATAATGTACCCACATCTTTGTCTGACCGTTAAAACTGTCAAATCATCTGAATTTTCAAGTTTACTGTCGGTTAAAAGCTGTCAAATTATTTGTATTATCAAATTCACCACTCGACACTGGCAGTATACTCGACAACACCGTTTTGGAGACTTAGTTGCCAAGGAAGAAAAATAAAGTTTATTATGTTATGTGTTTCCTAAACAATTCTCCGAAAACAGAATAATCTACCCACCTTCCTGAATGGCACAACAGCCACCTATTTACTTGTTAGTTTGACCTATAATATGGTAGCTCGCTGAGTTTCCGTGGTCCGCTTCAACCCTGATAACCCTTACTGACGTCAGAGATTAACACCACAGCGTTCCGATGCACTTGAAGTTGTGTAGTTAGTATAAAATTAGTTGTTACTTACTTAGCCACATCCTGCCATTAAATTCAAGGCTTTTTGTAATCTACAATTTGTCATTGCGTACTTACTACCTAAGTAGGTATTTTTAAAACTCTACACATATTTGTAGGTAGTATTTATCAATACGATTGTAAATAGTGTTTTTATTACAATTGATAGTGAATTTATAAATAATAGCATTGAATTAAACACTCACGCGAATATGCTAAGAAAAGCTCTATCAGTTTCGAGCCACTGAGAGGCTCTTCTCAAGAACTTTTCTCAATATATTCACTATCGTTTGCATTTGTTTAATTTAGTATGTCTCACGATAGTTATTATAAAACCATAATAATGTTTTGTAATATGTACTGTGGCTACACATGATAGAAAATCCTAACGAAGAACTGTTGAGCAGAAAGCCCGTCAGGCACGATCGATCACCTCGCCTGGTCGGAGGATCCTTCTTTTCCGATCTTAGGGAACTTAACCCTCTGTATATTATATATTAACTATCGTGAGACATTGGTTTATAATGGTTGACATCTGAATATATGAGATTTTGTTCAGAACTATTTGTGAACTTTAAAATTACTACCTTAATCGCCGCGTAGGTCACAAGGACATATGTTTCGAAGAATTGGCATTCAATAGTTTTCACGAAGCGGTTAAGGTTGAATGTTGGTGTTTTTCCGAGCCTTTTATGATTTAAAGGTGCATTTTACTTTCTGTATTTATTTTCATGGTCGACCTGTGTCTATTTATGGTTTTATTATGAGAATGTTCCAATATATTTTTAATTTGAAGGTGATAAAAATAGTCTTTGCTATTTTAATAAAGCCCATAATAATGTTGAAATTTGGTTGGTTGCATTACTATATCAATGGTCTAGATGGACATTCACTCGTTACATAAACGTAGAAAACTAAATTATTGATAGCTACTTAGTAGTACTTAGGTATAAAAATAAATGTATTGATAGCACTTTTATTAATAAACTAAATAACTAAATGATTAACTAACATACAGCTAGATAATAAATCAAAAAGATAATTGTAATAGTTGGGTAAACTTTAATACCTTTGACCGACCTTGTAGAAATTTATCAGATAATTGATAATCGACATTAATCTTATCTAAATAAACCGCAGATGTTACATATAGTGTACTAAAAATGTAAATTGCACAATGAAACCTAATCTTCAATTGCTATGTATTCATTTAGATTATTAAAATAATTAACTCTATTATAGACATTTGTCTATACTACTTAGTTAGGAGTATATAGTTGCCAACATGCTAAGAAAAAACCTATATAGAGACCGACCAACTAATTATATGTACATGGGATATTCACACAACGCATTTATAATAATTCTGGTGTTCCAGGTGTCCATGGGCGACGCCAATTGCTTACCATCAGGTGATCCGTCTGCTCGTTTACAGGCTTAATGCATAATAAATGGCATGGTTTAATTATTTGCTTTGGCTAACCACATACCAATTTATTCCTTTTGTTAGTAGTATCTATATATTATTGAGACTGCCTCGTTGGCCGGGTGGTCGCAAATGCGACTGCCGGGCAAGGGGTCTCGGGTTCTATTCCCGGGTAGGGCAAAGTATTACGGGGTTTTTTAAAAAAAATCTCAGTAGTAGCACGGAGTCTGGAATTGTGCCCGGTATATGGCAATAGGCTCACCCCCTTTTACATGGAACTCATAACATAAATAGTGAAATGTGGGTGTTACATTGTACAGTGGTAAAATGTGCACCTCTGCCTACCCCTTCGGGGATAACAGGCGTGACGTTATGTTATGTTAGTATATATTATTTTAAAGATACCTAATCCAGTAAATAATGGAGATCAATGAATAAATCCCGCTGAAATTGCAAATAAGTACAGTTACTATAGATAAAACATAGTGCAAATGAGCAACTACATAATAAGTATCATGTAATGTAATATCGATAGAAGAATTAGATAAAATTACACCTAATTAATTTACCTAGTTAATCCTCCTACAGTAAATAAAATACAAATCCTAATCTAGCTATTAATGTTTCTTTTGTATTTACCTATACACCAACGGTTTATAAATAGATATAACTTTGTCTTTGAATTTTCGATTATCTTAGAAGATTCTTAGAAGATATCAACGTGACTAGTCTTAAAATATCAGTTGCAATACTGCGTTGTAATATTATCTCTGAAATGAATTAGTATATAGTGTTCAACGTGTCATTGGATCAGTAGATAGTCGTAAATTGTTCGTGTGTAATACTATATCCTTTAGCTCTATAAATTAATCTAATGTGTCATGTTAATTGGTTACAATTTATATCAGAGCCTATGTCTATTGTCATATGGCCAGACTCAATCCAATCTCAATCCAAAGTCTATGGGATTAAAACGGATTTTTAATTGTTATTTTATTTGTAGGTACGGAGTTTCTGTGACAAACTTAGGTCGATCCAATTTTGAATTAAGAACGATAATTAATTTTGGTAAGTTTAAAGAAACCCTAGATGTGTCTTTAAATCCCCTGGTATTCAAACTTAAACGATTTGAAAGTATTATTAAATTATTAATACCATATTAGATCAATGTGAAACAAATTTTTAAAGTGGGTGTTACTTCTGTGTGCACCTCTGCCTACCCCTTCGGGAATAAAAGGCGTGATGTTTTGAAACAAATTCTCTTTTACTTCGTGTGCTATTATATTTAATGATCTCTTCTTAATTATTTTTTCATTATATTCGGGATAACAATCCATTAACATCAACCTTCATTAGTACGCAATTCATCTTATTATAATTACTTACTTCAAACGATTTTTCACGTGAAAAAACATTAAGAAGAATTAATTTATTCAGTTTTTTGCTTTATATACTATGGTAGACTTTTCATAAAGAATTTTTTTCGTAATTAATATTCGCTATAAAATTTAAATATAATAAAATAAATATATAAAAAAAATGAAACGAATGAAAAACGACAATGACATTAACTTAACCAAAAACAAAATGTCCTTGAATTTACATAATATTATGTACACACTTTACATAGACAAGCAATTTATATGTCAAACGGAATACAGGCACATGTCAACAGTCCGTGATAGCCCATAGCTTTTTTTTTTTGAGGGGGAATATTACCCAACGACTTCTCCCGCCTGGGTGAGGAGAGAAGGAGTGTGAGACTCTTACTGACTAAAAACCACCCCGTTCCTACTCCTGCACTTCGAGCCTTGGCAAACTCGACTCCGTATCATCATCAGCCCTATTGGGCCCCAACTGTGGTGGTCTGATGGCTGTTTGAGGCGCACGCGACAGCCCACAGTTGGACTGTGGGATTCGTCTACAAAAGAGGAATTTGCTGTTATCTCTTCCCTTGGCAGGCGATTTGGACATCACAGTTTAAAAGGGTCAGATTTATGAACGAGCTGCTGCTCCCAATTCTTTCTTAAACTATGAAGTCTCTTATGACGTCCTCGGTAGGAATACGGCTGGGGGAGAAGGAGGGGTTTACAAATGCATTCTACACTGCTAATCAACTGTTAAACAGAATAATTCAACATAAGTTTACCCAGTAACAAGGTAGACTAACAAAAACTTGGCCGAGACAATGAAAAACTGCAACTTACTGGTAGTTGGTACTGCGCAAAAAGCTCGCGCATATGAATTGGATGAATTGGCAAAACAAACACGCATCGTACACAAAGTGATACATCAACTTACGCGTACGCAACCGATAACATTGTTTGTGAGTTAAACGAGTGTAGTGAGTGTTTTCATTTGATTTAAGTCTGAGTGTTTAATTTGAAGAAAAATTAAAACTCAGCACGTTTGTTTATTTTAAGCGTAACGTAATAAAAAGCTACTCGATTGTATTTTTGGTTGCACTCCTTTCCAAAAATACCTAAACGTAAATGCACAGTGTATCATTTGTGTGTGGTATAGCGTAAAGGTACCAGTTAATTTAATATACAGACTTAGGGCTAAAATGTGAGAAAATCCTTTAAATATCAACTAGGGTTCTATATAAGAGTCTGACACTCCCTCTCGCCTCATTCAAGGCGAAAGAAGTCATTGGATGATGGTTCCCCCTCAAAAAAAGTATTTAACTCGTCGAGTACCGGTT